AACGAGCAGACTGGGATACTTTGCTTGAGTCAGATATTCCTTTGGAGCAATTCCATAATGTATTGTGTACAAATTTCTATAGTGCTTTCCCCATTATATCCATTAAAATGGCTAAGAAAAAAGTTTGGTATACAAAGGGCCTTAAAGTCTCTGGAAGGAACATGTGTGCGCTACATTATATACGCAAATACTCAATGGATAATGATAAATTTCTTGAATACTACTATAATTACCGTAAAATATATAGAAAGCTTGTGGAACTTGCAAAAAGGTCTCATTTTGATGAGAGGATTGAGAGGGCATCAAACAAATCAAAGGAGGCATGGAAAATCGTAAGCGACTTGAGAGGCAATAAGAACGTTCTTCAGGTCTCGGAAACATTGAAAGTAGATCAGCTTAACTCCTTTTATTGTTCCGTAGCAGCCAATCTGGCTGATACTGTTCCAAAAGCTGGCGATCCATTGAAGTACCTATCTCACATAAATGTATCTAACACGTTTTTTCTTGCACCTGTATGTTTGCAGGAACTAAAAGATGTTTTTTTCTGAAATCAGGAACAAAACCTCTTCTGGATGGGATAAGATCTCCCTGAGGATCCTGTTAGCGCTTCCAATTAAGGTGTTGAACAGTTTGGTGGATGCCATAAACCACTCATTTCTAACAGGGATTTTTCCAGCATGCTTAAAGAGAGCAATGATTGTACCTCTGCACAAAGGTGGGAATGCTGATGACCCTTCCAACTATCGTCCTATAGCTCTGCTTCCCACATTGGCCAAGGTTGTCGAGAAACTGATCACCCGCGTAATGTCATATTTGGATAAATACAACATCTTGAGTGGGCATCAGTTTGGATTTCAGCGCGGCAATGACACTGGGGATGCCATCTTCAACTTTCTCGAACATCTTTACAGGAGGATGAATGTTGGCGATATTGCTGCGGCGGTCTTCTGTGATTTATCGAAGGCATTCGATTGCGTGAATCACGGAATACTACTCAGGAAGCTGGAAAGGTATGGATTTAGGGGCAAGTCCTTGAGATGGTTTGAGTCCTATTTGTGTGATAGAGTTCAAACAGTGTCATTTAATGGTGAAAATTCTCGGGAAGGGAAGATCAATGCTGGTGTTCCGCAGGGCTCTGTTCTTGGCCCCTTACTGTTTTTACTATATGTCAACGATCTGCCACATGTTCCTATAAAGGGGGCCTTTACTATGTTTGCTGATGACACAACTATTTTGTGGCATGGTGTAGATCTGGCAGCGTTAACCAGCAACATTTCTCACGATCTGTTGGAAGTTAAGAATTGGTGTGATTCTAATTTTCTAAGTTTTAATGCAACAAAAACAAGCATCCTATCCATCCTAAAGTGTTCAGGGTATTTCTATGGATGCTTTACCACTCCCAACTCTTGAATTTAACCGATTTCTGGGCCTAACCATTGACAGTTCCTTGAGGTTTGAGGAATATATATCTAAGGTATCTAAAAAAATTTCTGCTGGATGTTATGTCCTTAAGGTAATAAGGCACAATTTAGGTTTCGCTATGGCCAGAAATTCGTACTATGCTATAATAGAACCCCATATTCGCTACGGCATTGCGTTTTGGGGTGCGTGCTCTCAATATTTATTTACCTCAGTATTTTTACTGCAAAAGAGAGCAATTCGTTATCTCTGTGCTGCAAAAGTCCACGACTCCTGCCGTGGTTTATTTGGCCAGTATGGAATATTAACCCTTAGCTCATTGTTCATCCTGGAGACTGTATGATGATGTACTTTAATTTTTAGAAAATATAGGAATGAACTTAACCACATTGGACCATATCCGACCCGTCATCCTTTCTCATTGAATCTTCCAATACCTTACTCTCAACTTGTTAAAAGGTCTTTTTTATATGAGGGCAGAAAACTTTTTAACCATCTGCCCACAGAGGTTAGGAGGATTAATTGCTTAAAAAAATTCAGGAGAGCAGTAAAAAGGGTATTAGTACCTGGGGCATATTATACTTTGGCTGAATTTTATGAGACTGTTCTTGACTGATATATGAGTATAGTGTGTTTTCTGTCTGGATATTTGCAATTTATTGATTTTGTCCATTTATATGCATGTATATTGTAGGTCTTCTTTATGTATTATTATTAAACTTTATGTTGTATTGATTAAGTTTTATTGACTAGTGTTTTAATTTTAACCTGCATTGTTAATTTATTATTATTTATGTCTTGTATTTAACTACTATTTTTATTTTTTTTTTGTTCTCTTTGTAACAACTAAGGTTTATACAATAAAGCTTTTTTTGGACTTTTTTGACTTGACTTGAACTAATGACGAGGGATTTTTGGGTTAACTGAAAATTTTCTGAAAGATTCCTGAGGGATTTTGGAGTGATTTCGTGGATTTCGGACTAATTTATGACACGATTTCGGGGAGTGATTAAACCCTCGAAGATTTCATCAAAATTCTTTGGAATTTCACTAAAATTTTAAATTATTCTATGGAAATTCTGCGAAAATTTTAAGTAATTCCATAGAAATACCTTAAGATTTTATGGAATTCTTGGATACATTTTTTTCGGAATTACAGTATAGAATTTCATGAAATTCCTCGGAATTCCACTAAGATTTCAATTTCAAAATTCCATATTTTTTTTTTTAACTTTACTAAAATTCCCCAAAATTTTACCACTGAAATCCTGGAATTCCACAAAATTTTCATAAAATTCTTCGGAATTTCATTGACATTTCATGTAATTTCTTAAAAATTCCTCGGAATTCACCGAAATTTTATAAGAATATTCATGTTCATAGCCGAAAATTTCTGGAAAGTCCAATGAAACTTCAAGGAATTTTTCAAAATTTAATTTATTATCATAAGAATTTTTCGGAATTTCACTGAAATTCTCTTTTAATTGCCAGGGAATATTAATGAAGTTTCAAGTAATTTCTTAAAAACCTCCTCCTCTTTTTTTTCTTGTTGCATAAATACTCTCAAAGTTTCCAAAGTTGTAGTATTGAATTTCTTGTTTCTTCACCCATGTTTCTGCTATAATTACTATATCAATTTCTTCTTCTTTAATCAAAATTTCTATTTCTTCCATTCTATTTTTCTGTGATCTTGCATTAATATATAATATTTTAATAGGGTTTCCCATAATTTAGGAATAAATAATTCTTTGTTTGGCTTCCTTGACTTTTTGTTTATGTAATGGGCACATGTCACTGTTTGCTTTATGTTCAGCATTTGATATTGTATTATTTTTTTTCTTATATGTTAGGCAGTTAATACATTTTGGATTTTTTTCGTTACATTTCCAATGTTGATGGTTTTTTGAACAAATTTTACATGCCTTGTTTTTCACAACTATAGGATTTATGTCCATACCCGCAACATTTGTAGCATTGCATGATATTTAGGTCTTCTTTGAAATAGCAATGGTTCCAGTTTAATAATATTGTTTTATTGTTCAATTTAAAAAACGTTTTTCCATTAGTTTCAATGATATAAATGAATTTGTTCGAATATTTGGATTTTCTTACATATTTGACTTCAAATTTGTCATTTAAATCTAATAGTTGAAATTGTTCCAAAGTCTTTTATAATTCATCTCCATTATATTTTACTGTACATCCCAACATCACTAATTTGGGGTTTTTTAATTGAGGTATTTGACATGTAAAGTTGTTACTTAATTTTTTTTTAGTTAATTTTTAAGTTTTATTGTTTCTTCCTCAGATTTTGTTTTTATAATGATTCCCCCATTTTTAATTTCTTTTATTTTTGTTACTGATACATTAACCAAGCTTGGGTTGATTTCTTTTTGAAGAAAATTTTTGGTTTTTTCGAATGATTGGTTTACTTTTGGTCTTATTATTAATGGAGGATAGTTTCTTACTTGATTGTTCGTTTTTGTAGGTATTTTTACTACATCTGCATATGATATATTTTGGTTTTTCTGATTTTTTTCTAGTTCTTTTATCATTTTATCAATTTTTTCTTCAAGTTTATTTGCAAAGTAGATATTTTCACTTGTTTCTTATATATTTATTTTTTTCTATTAAAGTTTCATTTGTATTTTTTAGTTCCACAATAATGTTTTTTAACTGTTTGTTTTCTTCTTGTAGACTATAAAAATCAATATCTATTTTTTTCGTAATACATTTCTGACAAACCCAATCAATTTTCATTCTTTTTATTTCATTTAGATCTTTCTTGGATAATTTTAAACAAGTCAGACAAAACCATTGTTTTTTTTTTGTAACTCTCGTACTTGTAAAGGTAGATTTATTTGTTCTGATTGGTTTATTCCCTTTTTTTGAGTTTTTTTTTTGAATTTTTATGTCTCTAATTTTTTGATTTTTTTAGGAGAGTTTTACAGATCGACTTGACAATTTGATAAATTTTTGACTTCTTGGAATATTCTGAAGCTTGACCAATGGTTTAGTCTAAACTACACACCATACATTATGAAACAGGTTTATTGTAGGTTACCAGTGTCTTGTGGTTATCGTTGGATTACCACTTTTTGTGAAATTGGGCCTAAATAAGCTTCTGAGTGCTTATGGTTCTGATATTAATGGAATTTATCATGCTGGAAAATCATTCGATGACGTCTTTCTTATCTTTTCACCAAAATAATTTGAAATTATTATATTTTATGAGTTTCTAGCGAACTATAAGAATGTATGTTTGATGATTCAAGAACTTTGGATACTTCTTTGAATTGAAAGTCTTGTTTGCATGGTAAACATTAGTGACAAGAAGAAAATCACAAATGTGGAGTGAATATCTAAAGACAAAAACTGGAGGGTAATTTAAAACTTGATTTTATGAAGTAAAAAGTTTGAAATTGGAATCAAGAACTTGGGATTAATTGCTTCTCAAGAAAATAAACTTGATACATATATGAAATTTTCAAAGAACAACTTTTTCATCTTTAGGATAAAATCTTAAATTTTTGAACTTTATATGGATTTCAATCCTCATAATAATTAAATAAATAAATTACCTGCTGCTTGAAATTGCTGCGAAGATATTTCCAACTTTCTAGCCATGGCATCAATTTCCAATTCCTGACTGCGCATCTGATGGGATTTTTGAACACTCTGTTGTATTTGAACCAGCTAAAAAGTCAAAACAATAACCACCAAAAATAATAAAAATATCCGACAATTACCTGACTATGCTGCGACGTTACAATTTGAACAGGATGAGCATTTTGCACTACACCGTTCAACTGAACCTGTAGGCTCTGACTTAAGCTTTCCAGCTGTTCTCTAGGATTAGGCGTTGCTTGAGGTACTGACGGTTGCTGCTGTTGAACACTGGGTCCGTTTTGCGCTCTGGCCGCAGCTTCGCTCCTAGCCGCAGCTGAAACTAGGCCGCAACTGATACGCGCGTTTTTACGTCCACTTTCGGTGAAAATTTCGGTAAATTGTCGTACATATCGGTGCGCGTTCGGACGAGAACCCAACGAAAACCTACAAGCAACGCCGTTTCTTTGGTCTTTTTTATAATCGCGGTCCAAGTAGAGCTCGCCCAAAAACTCGAGGTTGGCAGGCCTTTGAAATATTGATAGTTTTATGTGGTATACTCGAGGTTTATCTTTATCCTTTGAGGTAATATCAGTCTCTAATGTGTACTCTTCCATAAGGTGAGGGGAGCAATCACTTGTATCCTCTGGCCATGTCATTGGCTTAACATTGATTGCTACAGGATGTTCAGGATGAGTCAGGTTCGCCGGTGCCTCTAAATTAGGTACCGGAATCACAGTCTTTGCTTCTTCTAGCTGGACAGCCTTTGTACTCTTCATCATTGTTGTACATGTTCGCCTTTTCTTTGCCTTACTACAAGCCTCTAATAAATCATCTTTGTGAGCAAAATGGTATAATTTTCGTTTCCGGTTGGCAGCAACTTGCGAAGATTTCTGTGTAATTTTATAGAAAGGTAATTCGTTCCAGACGCGCGTCCGATTTTGAATTTTCGATATTTGATTTTCTAAATTCTTATCAGGTTCCAAACATAGATTGGGAGTGTGAGCCATCAGGATTTGACTTTCTAAGGCGTCTCTGTCTTCTGAGGTAAAATCTGTCCTGTCCCTTGTAAGAGTGTTTATGTCCGCAAGAATTGTCTATAAATCAAATAATAATTAATAAAACAAACAAATTAATTAAATTATTATTACTTGTTGTGTAGGCCTAAGCAATACGTGATGAGTATAGTATTTATTTTCAGGATGTGCTGGCCTATAGTTTCTCACTTCTGCAATTACACAGCCATTATAAAATAAAAAATCAAATTTGTCTAATGCATCCAAAATAAATGGTGGAATTTCTTCTCTATTCAAGTAACTAAAAAAAACAAAAATAATTTCAACTAGTTTATTGTTAATAAGTAATTAATATTACTTTAAAAGAGTGTCCTCTTCATAGCCTCGAATCATCGTATGAATAAGTTCCTCATTATCTTCCCTATAACCCATATTGTGACGATCTTGAAAGCGAAAAGCCAAAGAATAACCTTTACTCCCAGGATATAAATTTAAAATAATCGTATTTAGCTTTTCTTTTTGAACGAGCTGCTCTAAAATCAGTGGCTTAAATTTTATGTCCGAATTCACAATCTCCTCCCTGTCATCACTATCGTATTCTTCTTCTTCGCAACTACTAGAATCAGATTCTTGCAACTTTCTCAATTCCTCAAACAAATCGAAACGCGCCGGTTTTTCCTCGCAATTGCTGGTAGACGGTTGGCACTCCTCTTTGGATGGAAAACAACTACTGGTAAGAGGCTGGGAAGCAGCTCTAAGGGTTTTTAACCTTTTTGCTGCATGCTAAATTTTTTGGTTTTTTTTAAAAATATTAAATACAAATGAATAACACATACTTCTCCCTCTTCGCATGCCGCCTCCAGGCTTTGCATTATTATTTGGAATTAGAATCTGCATCCAGGAAGCCACATCTTCCAGTTACAAGACTAAATTATGATCTGTCTCTTTCATGATAAAACTAGGCTGAAATGGAAAGTGAAGAGGGGGGTTTTGTATTAATTTTGGTACCTGATATAACCAAATAAAAATTAGCATTAGATACAATGGATGAGAACTTGACTAAGTAATTTGTTTTTCTCTGAATTTTTTTGCCTACCTATGTAGATAATGTATTATTTTGATATTTTCTCAGAAAATGCAGAAAATCAAGGGTGGTTAATTGACATCTGTATTTTCTATATGGACTTATCTAATGAATGATATTATTGGAGAACTATATCGATCATTTACGCCGAATTTTTTGGTTCGAGAATAGCGGTTCAAATTTAATTCATAGATTACTTAGTACGGGATACGACGCCTATTTCATCAAATCATTTTACACCGTCTTGCATTGTTATCATCAGTTAGATAACATGAAGCTGAAACGCACTTGTGCAAGGAAATAGATGGGAGTGGGGGATTCCAATGAAAAAAATGTTTAAGAAGATGTCGTCAAAAACGAAGAAAATATATAATTATACACCGTCTTGGATTCATTTATTCAGTTAATTTGTACACAAACAGAATTGGATCAACCTATGCAAGACGTTTTCGTGGGGGTTTTGGGTTGCAATATTAGATATAAAGTGTCAATTTTTGAGAGGGGTGAAATATCATTTTACACCAATCCATTGTCGATTTAGATTGAAGCTTGAATGTAGAATAGCCACTGGATACTTATGCAAGACTTCCTGCGGCGGGATGACGGGATGCAAGACGGAGGTCAATGCGTTGTCTCATGAGGGAATGAAAAATCATTTTACACCACTTCATGCGTATGTTCGCCGAAAGAATATAATGTTAAGAAATAGTGATACATCAGTACAAGACGTTTTTTCGGGGAAAAAATTACATAAATCCGTTTTTTTTTTTCACTGAACTATTGAGTTATTTACTGAACCCGTTCACTGTTCATTCTTTTCTAAATCATATAGATGAAAAATGACAGTTGCCATAGCAGTTCAACAGGGGAGTCTGCTGAATACAGGAATTATAATTTAATTTCAGACAGATCTGTCATTTTTTGCTGCTTGGAAAAAATAAAAAAAAAAAAATAAATACTCATTATTCCCGAGATCTATAGTTGAACATAACAGAACGTAAGTATGTCATAGCTAGTATTATTGAAAAATAATAATTTTTTTTCTAGCAGATTACGTACGATGGCTTTATGCATTTTCTGTCGGAAAGAATCAAATGAAAAATGTAAGCTTTTCGAGAATGAATCTTTATTAGATAAATGTAAAAACATATTAAAAATCAGAACATATAATGATTTGAAATTCAAGAACGTTAAAATGCCAGAGGCTGTGAATGATGGAGAAGCCGGCTATCATTCTTCATGTTACAGGCGATTTTCTGCTGTAGATTTTAATAAATATAAACCAAGACCAAAAGTAAAGCATCCTCCAACTAATGTGAGTGCACCTTTGCATTCTTTGATACCTTCTACCAGTGCTGGACAGCCTTCTACTAGTGCTGGACAGCCTTCTACCAGTGCTGGACAGCCTTCTAACAGTGCTGGACAGCCTTCTTTGACGTTAGATTATTGCTGTTCCATTTCACCTTCCACGGCTACTGTTCACACTGCCGATATCGAAAGAGACCAAAAAATTCAGAGAACATCAGCAGATGAGGGCGCGAACACCAGGTAATAAAAGTATCAGTAACCTTCAAGACCTAAAAGATTTCCATGGACAACCTGATCAAAAATGTTTCTTCTGTCGTAAGTGCAATAAAAGGAGGAATGGCCGTTTGCAATTATTAATTGTTGCAAAATCCGACAGGCTTCTGAAAAAAATGAAAACTATTGCAACTGAAGTGAACGACATAGATGTTTTATTGGATTTAAGTTTCTACGTAGCTTCCAATTCACCTTTTATCTATCATAAAGTTTGCTACCGAAGTTATCTAAACAAAATGAATAAAAAATTATCTGATAAACATACTGCCTGGCATGATCGTCGCAACCACTACAACAAAATCTTTGCGAATATATTAATGCGGAGATTTTGTCCAAGAAACGTTGCGCATTGTATATATGCCAATATTTTCAAATAATTCTGAAGGAACAATATGATAATGTTTCCTTAGATGTTGGAATATTTTGTACTAGTTACCTGAAAAAAAAAATTGCTGGCAACCTTTGGTGAGAAAATTCAAATATTAGAAGTGGAGGGATCAACGGTACTTGCATATGGGGGTATTAATGAACTAGCTGATACATTCATTTCAAGATTAAAAATTAATTCAATAATAAGGAAAGCCGCATTATCATTAAGGGATGAAATTAAAAATATTGACACTAATACTTTACCAGAAGAGCTCAATGCACAACAATTGATACGGGGTGAATGCGATATACCCGAACTATTAATACTTTTTTGGTCGACATTGTTAAGTGGTTTCGATTTAAAAAAGAAGAAAAGTACCAAATGTGAAAGGCTCGTTAAATCATTTTCTGAAGACATGATATATGCCGTTAGCAATGGAGCTATAAAAACGTCTAAGCATATCAGTTTGGGTTTGACTATAAAAAGTCTCACCAATAGCAGAAAAGTAGTGAACATCATGAATCGGCTAGGACATTGTTGCAGCTATGGGGTTTTGGAGGAACTTGAAACGGAAGCAACGTATTCGAGCATGACTGATACGCAAATTTGTCCTCCAGACATAAGACAATTACCAAACTTACATACCGGCCTCGCTTTTGATAATTTCGACCGTTTCGTGGAGACTCTGACTGGCAAAGACACATTGCATGATACGGTTGGCATCATGTTTCAAGATGTTGCTGAAGAGGACGAAGACAACAGTAATGACGAAAACAGTAATGAGGCATCCAATTATGATGAGACGAAAAATAAAGAACACAGTGACGAACAAGCCAATAATGAAGAAACAGGAAATGGAGAACACAGTGACGATGAAAAGAATAATGAAAAAACGAAAAATAAAGAACACAGTGACGACAAAACAAATAATGAAGAAACGGAAAATGAAGAACACAATGACGACGAAACCAATAATGCAGAAACGGAAGATAAAGAAAACACTAATGACGAAACCTGTACTGAGAAAGCTAAAACGAACTATGATGGAAATAATTACCAATATTCTAACTATAATATTCTTGGAACTAGTAGAAGGGTTATACGACAAACTCGCCGGAAGAGGCGTACTTTTGACGCCATAATCCCAGAGTTACCCTTGTATAGTAAAAAGCCCAGATTCACAAATCAACTACTGCTATTATCAGATGATGTGAAAATGCTCAATCCGCCAAGTTTACATCATGTTGTTCAACTAGATATACTATGGATGATGTCACATGCTTTAAAAGTTCCGTTAACACCACTTTGGACTGGTTTTAATTGCAGATTATTCAATGATCAGTTTTCACGACAAAAGATTTCGTATATAACACCAATAAATGCGTCACCAACTAATAATGCAGTAGTTATAGAAACTCTGAACCAAGCCGTAAGGGCAGCGGACGAATGTGGTGAAAATTATATGCAAATTACTTATGATTTAGCCATTGCAAAACCTGCATATCAAATACAATACATGGAGCGTCCGAAATATGACAGAGTTTTCATACACCTAGGAGCTTTCCATATTTATCTGGCTTTCTTCAATGCAGTTGGTAAGTTCATCAAAGATTGTGGAATTACAAATATGCTAGTGGATGCAGATTTAATTGCAAACGGTTCCATTGAAAGTTTTTTAAAAGGAAAAAATTTTAATAGATGTAAAAGGTTACACCCTCTTATATCTTTAGGTTTCCAAATTGCACATTTCGAAAGCTTCCTGCAAAACGAAAACATTACCATATCAGAGGATATTAGGGAATATATAAAGTCCCTAGTGGAAAATCCTGTACCTATGGAGGACGTAACAAACGATGACTTGAAGAACCTTATTGAAAGATACAAAAATTATAAAGTACTGACTTTGTCTGGAAAACATGGCAAAACGGCACAATTTTATCTTTCATATACAACCCTTATTGATTACTTCTTACTTATATCAAGGGGCGTGCGCGAAGGCGATTTAAATATTTTTAAATATGCTTTATTGAAAATGATCGATGTTTTTTTCGCAATGAATCAGCCAAATTACTCAAGATGGGGCCTGGTATACCTTCAAAACTTGGTAAATGTTGAAAATACCCACCCTGGATTGTCCAACAGCTTGATATTTGGTATTAAAAGAACACAAAAACCATTTTCGAAACAGCCCGTAGATCTCACTCTGGAACAAACCGTCAATGCAGATGCGGCAAAACGATTGACGGGCGTAATGCATATTACAAATTCCATTGGCGCTCGACAACGATGGTCCAGGAGTCATGCTTTAAGATGCACAATTATTACGCACGTATTAAGTCGATGTGGACTGCATAGAAACGAAGACATAACGGCTGATCTGCGGGGAGGTAGAAGAATGATAGCTTGCCACCAAATACATGATTTGTTGGCATGCTTTAATGAAAGAATGAATCCATTTACTTTTGTCATCGATAAGAACTGTTTATTTAACGTTTCAAGTGGTAGAGCAGCGTCCGCAAATGTGGCTAATTTTTTATTAAATATGGAGCAAATTGGAAAACAAAGACGTCAGCAGTTTATTCAAGAATGTAGTGAAAATGAAAGCAGGTTTGAACAGAGTATACCAAGAGGCAAAATATTAAATTTTAGTAGCATTTCAAAAAAACAGACCAAAAGTAATGTGAAAGTTGACAGTTTGAAGTTACAAAAAAATTTATTCGGATGGCTTCTAGGAATTTCCTTACATGAAGATTTACATCTAGACATTGAGAAGGTTTTGTCATACCCTTTGACGCCTGTTCCCTTATCTCTCTGTCACTTGGATGGATCGGTGAATA